GCGCACAACACTTCTGATACACTCGCTGATCTTGCTGCAAGCAAATTTCATTTGATATCCATTCAACACTCATCGTCAGCCGATTAGATACACGAATTCGATAAATTCGACGCAATTCTTTAGCATTTTACGAATTTATTCCAAAATTCATTCCAGATTTCCGTGTTTTGCGATGAGTTTCCGTGAAAAAAAGGTGTATTTTGATGAGCTTCGATGGGAATACTTGACAGATTATACGGCTCAACTTCTCGAAAATGTGGCAAATGTTGTCGAAACTGAGCCCTTTTGAATATCTCTTAAATTGAGATATTCTTGTGTGTTTATCTCTTTCAGATCAAACTTTTGTCAAAGATTTTGGACCGAAGCGTTCTGAATAATCGAACCGAATCGAACTCACGCCCTCTGAACACATCAATCGCATCCTCAAAGCCCTCTGAACACATCAATCGCATCCTCAAAGCCCAGCACTATCTAAACACCACTACACTATCGGCCCATTGCACGATGTTTCTTATTTGATTTAAGTACTATCTTCTTTTGAGTACTATCCTCATTGTATACTAGCTTTTCGCGCTAGTCGCGACAAATGTATTGAAGCACCTAAAGAATGCGGAATATAAGCGCATTTTGCCAACCTGATTGTTGTGTTTCATTTGGACGATTATCGTTCCGTGTCAAACTGCTGCTGCCTTCTGATCTGAACATTTTGTAGATCTTATCGAGTATCTCCTAAAAAAATCTGACTATGAGTCTTTATTAACGCTAATAATTAGTGATCACGGTGAAATTGGATCAATGGCATTAACTGATCAAATTAATCTAAATGTGATCAATCAATTAAATTAATTGATCAATGATTTCAGTAATGATCACGTTAGCGATTCTAACCTGGACTGCTTTCATTTCAAAAGGCTCATTTTTCTGTTTGCGAAGCTCTTCGTTGGTTTCCTCGCGTATTTTCTGCAATTCTGCACGCAATTCCGTCGTTTCACTCTTCAACATCTGAAAATTTCGACAATTCAATGCATACACTTGTAAGGAAAATATCAATTGATAATGCTCTTTGTATTGTTATAAATATGATTATTATTATTATTATTGAATAAATAAATAAATACATATATAAACGCATAAAT